CGCGTACTGGGTCCCGCCGCAACGCCTGGGCTGGTGTCGGAGGCGCACGGCGCTGGGCGACTGGAAGATCATGGCGGTGGAGTACGTGGACGAGCTCAGCTGCGCGGAGATGCGCCGCTATGCGGAAAGCCAAAGAGCACAACAATAAATACCCTGATCTGAGGAGGGGCAAAGAGGGGCAGTACAAGCTGTACATGTGCTCGAACTGCGTGGCAACGACGCAGGGCACCTCCGAGCACGAGGCCGTGACGCGCGCTGCGCGCGCGAACAAGGGCCCAGGCTCCATTGACCACGCCGCCAAGCGGGTGGCGAAGTTCCGTGCGAGCTTCGACTGCGTCAAGGAGGGCATGGACGTCCTGGTGGGGTTCGCGCTCTCAGAGGAAGGCTCGCTGGCCCTGGGGGGGTCAACGGAGGGCGTGGGGGTGGGCATCGACCCCGAGAATACAGGCGCCCCCCCAGCCACGGAAGAAGTGGCGAGGGAGGTGGGCCGCCCGATGGCGAGGGAGGCGGGGGTGGTGCCAGGGCCGCCCCGCGCGCCACCCCCGCCCCTCGAGGAAGAACCCCCCAGCGATGAGGAGAACGACCCTCAGCCCGACGTGGGCGCGGAGGACCAGGGGCTCCAGCTGACCGAGGTCCAGACCGTGAAGGAGGTAACGGACATCGAGCCCTTGCTGCGGCTCGGCCTATCCAAGAAGTCGCTGAAGCGCATGGCGCGGGCCGGGGGCGTCCTCAAATTCGAGACCATGCGCGCCCACATGCTGGGCGGCCTGGGGCCCATCCTGGAAAAGAAGGAGGACATGGTGAGGGGCACCGAGGCGCAGGACGGAGTCCAGAAGTGGCTCGACGCGCTGAACGAGGAGGCGGAGGTGGATGTGGGAAGGCTGAAGAGGAGTCCCCTGGAAGCCTCGGGGATCGCAGATGCCCACCTGGGACACAAACGTGCCTGGAAGGAGGAGTGCCAGGGCAACGCCGCGGCGCAGGAGGCCTACCGCCGCATGGGCGACTACGCGGACCAGTTCTACCGTGGCAAGGGCTTCACGTTCAACATGTACTACAAGTGCGCGGCCAACAAGACTTGGGAGAATCCCAGGGGATGCTGCTCGGTGATCCGCTCGGATCGCTGGTCACAGCTGCTCTCATGCGCCCAGGAGGCAGCGGGAGAGACGGGCCAGCGCTGGTACTGCCACTGCGGTGCGCGCTACTCGACCCCCTATGGAGTCTGCATCGAGTTCATAGAGGAGGAGT